TTGACTGGTCTTGTGACCCCCTGTTCTCCCCCACTTTGCCTATGGGGGTGTGTCAGAACATTATAGCTTATGCTCTTGTGTAGGCTGTAGTGGGGTATCCCATAAGGGGTACAACCCAATTAGGGTTAGTACTTGTACCCACTTCATTCATAGTTCATTCATTCTCGTTTCAGTTTTCTCAAGAACGAAGCACATTGCTCTCCGCTACTTCCTTGCTCATGAGCCGCAGCAGCATGGTTTGCTGCGCCTTGCTTACGTGGTCTCTGAGGCCAACACTACTGATATCTTTACCAAGGCACTTCCGCCAGGTGATCATCAGCGCTTCTGTACGATGTTAGGTCTTGTGCCTACTTGGCCTCACTTGCTTATTTCTTGACCTTGCTTGTACTGTGATCTTTCTATACCTGCACTTGCTTGTTTACCTTTATATATGATCTTGCATATGAACTAGCCTTTTGGCCTTGCTCTTGTGCTCGGATTGTGTGGTGACGTTGTGATCTACCCTGAGCTTGCTTTGCTTTGCTTGACTGGTCTTGTGACCTCTTGTTCTCCCCCACTTTGCCTATGGGGGTGTGTCAAACTTATATGCTGTAGCCTGTGTAGGCTATAGTGGGGTAGACAATATGGGGTACAACACTTCTAGGTTTTCCTACTTGTACTCACCTGCCTGCTAGTTCATTCATTCCTCATTTCTTCACAACAACAATGTGATTAGGATGGGTACCATACCTGCTGCCGTCAGTTGCTCTTGCCCCTCTGCTTCAAACCACTTGTAGTACTGCCGGCGGACAGAAGCCTTGAATCTCTTGTTGATGGAGACGTCGAGGGGCTGTACCTCCGCCGTACAGCCCGACGGGATGATTGCCGGCACGCAGCTCATCTCGGGGAGTTTCTCCTTCACCCCTTCGGTGAGGTGACCGCGGTAAGAATCTAGCACCATTATCGAGCTCTTTGCGTGCCTACCGAACCGAAGCTTCAAGAAGGGCTTGACGCACTCCTCAAGCTAGCAAATGACGCCCTGGGCGTTCATCCACCCGTTCTCGTGGCAAGCGACGACCACATCTGCACGAAACATCATCGGGTGTTAAGAATTCGCACTCAAAGGAAAATTGCAACGAACGTCAACAAAACCTCATGACCTACCTGCCGGGAAATTGCCCTTCGGCACCGTCTTCCGCTTGAAGAACACCCATGGCTTGAGCTTCACTCTGTCCGCCGTGCACGCCAATATCACAATCAGTCGCTGCTTCTGGTAACCCGCGCTCCTCATGGGCACCGACCGAACACCATATTCCTCCATGGTGGTGGCGGCGGGCATCTAGCCAGAGCGGCGTCTGGTCCGCGTTGATGATCCATATGGACTCGATGCCGCGCTCGCGACGCTTGTTACGGACGAACTGCGAGAAGCTCCTGCAATGCTCCTTAAACTCACACACTGGGGGTACATACCCAAGGTACAAACTTTCTCGCATGGTAGTTTAGTGCGAATTTTGAATAGCTGGTGAGCGTTCCGAAACCTAGTCACGAATAGTCATAAGCATTAAAAACTTCAGTCGCGTCACCCCAACCCCATCCTCACTCATACCATTTGGTGCAGTTTCAACAGAAGACACTTCATCTTCGCTGTCGACTAATAGTCCCTGAGTTTCAGGGTGTCTGTCATATCGAGCTAGAATCGGCATAGGGCACCTTCAAGACAATAGGTAGGGGTATGCAATTATCGAGAATAGGCTGTACATGCACCCATAACAACAACTCGTTACAGAGAACACAAGAATTTTGCTCTCTTTTGTCGATGTGCCGCGCCCCCCGCGTGTCAGGCTCGAGCCACGAATAGAGTTGGTGCGCGAACGCGGAGTTCCCCTAATACACCCATATTCTCGATAGACTGGCATAAGTTTTAGACTGACTGAGTCGCCTAGTGTTACCGCAACGGACCAAAGAAGGTCCTAACACATGCGTCATAGTGACAATTTGAGCTAAGGCGGTCAGTCAGGGTTTCAAACTATTCAGCGTTAACGGTTTTTTACTGCCCAATGCTTCGTCACCTCATGCGACTTTGCTCGCAACCGAGTTATCGCACCAGCCCGCTACGTCCAAATACTGTAGCCAGTGCGCGCGATGGTGAGAAGGGTGAGAGCAAGGGTGTACACTATACTTCACAGTTGCGTGTGTACAGTTTGCACATTCATTTCGTACCGCACACGAAAAGTGTAGACTTCCCCGTAGCTAGCATCCAACATGGACACTAGTGCAGCTTGCGCGTCCTTTTGTGAAGTGGGCAGACGCGAAGCTTCGTGAACACTTATCTTCAAACGCTTCGAGATTTCAAACCTCTACACTACCATGTTTCGTCTTGTTTACGTATGACCCAGCCATATGTTCTCACACACCACACGTGGTTCCCCCTCACACGCAGGAACGGAGAGCAAGGGCATGGCAACAGTGCACCACAGTGAGATGAAGTCGATTGATATGGCAGCAGTGAACCCAAATGTTACAGTATCACCACCACCACACCACAGCACGAAAGGGCTTGTTTGGCCACTCAGTCTGCTCCAACATTAGTCCTTCAAGGTGTAACGCCTGTGGGCTGTGTTAAGTATTATTGTGGGTGGCAATTATTCTTCAAGGAGGCGGGCAACACATAAACTCTCCCCTTTATGATGCACACCCTCCCACAGACTTGCCATAGCATGGCTCGTATCCCACAGCAATCTCACGGTCTTACTAGAAAGACGGACTAAATATGCACAGTTTTACATATTACGAAGAGGCCGTGGGTGATTTTACTGATCTGCGCCGTAGTTAGCGCCATTGCCGACGAGCGGACGACAACATTACCAATGAAGCGGAAGAACTCAAAAGCGGAAGCAACGGAGTATAGTACAGACCGTGATGCTCGCCCCTGCACGACTGCGGGCGCGCCTGGTACTAATTTCGAAGTCACCGCAGAGAAAACACGATCGCCAAATCACCGCACTTCTCCCACATCTTACGTTTCCCTTAGAAGGACTTGCGCGGGGCGACGGTCCTTGAAACGCGGCGGAAGCAGCGGCGATAGCGCCGGCGCAAGTTATACCAGCGCCGAGGCGAGTCGTCTAGCCGAGGGAAAAAAACTGCGAGCTGCATTGGTGCCAACTTGTCTGCCGGAGGATGGTTATACTTGGCTAAAATATGGCGAGAAACCGCTAATGAACCAGCCTAATTGCCTGCGGTGAGTCGTTTGTGGGTAAGGGCTTGTGGTTGCGCGAATTCAGTTTCAGGCGTATTCATTATTTTCCCCTTTTAAAACGCCCTACGTTCGTCCTCCTACATCAGGTCGTATTTCCGTTGTGCGAGTTCGGGCTTACAAGGAGCAGAGCCATGTCGTGCCAAGCGAACTGTTGATTGGCATGTCGACACGCAGCCGGCCAGTTACCATGTTTCGTTCACCGGCGAGCACAACCACGGCCCGTCTGCTCTCCTCGCAACAACTCCACTCGCCAGCTCGCCTGCTGCCTCCGATCTGGCGGGTAGTTGCAAAATAGGTGCTTCGTTAAGCGCGAAAGTGGCGACGGGTGTGTCAAAGAGTTTCTCGGTGAACGGATCGACCCTTGTGTCCCGTCGCAGGCCGAACCACGGGTTTCGGAAACTTCCGATGGTTCCGATGGGGTTCTCTACAGCCGTCGAAGCTGCTCTAGTTCCAGACGCGAACGCGAAAGCTGTTTCTGACGACACTCGCAATGAGCCGGACACCTGCAGAGTTGCTGGTTACAAGCCCAGCAACTACACTGACAATACACAAAATTCCTACACCTACATTTCCATACTAAACGGCAAAATTGCTTCATCCAAAATCCCCTCAAATTTCCATGATTCTTCCACTCCATTTTCTGGTGTCAGCCAGCTTATCCCTCCTGCCGGACCGGATTGCGAAAATAATGATGGAGAGCAGCAGGTGTATACCACATCAAATGAGAAATCTCAGCGCCATACTCACGCTCAGCATGAGCAATCTAATCAGATGGAGCTACTCCACCCTTCAAGCTCACACTCCCATACTCCACCATCCGACTCAGCTTCACCTGGATTTGAAGTCAAGCCTTTTTCAGCAACTCATCAGTGCTTTGAAGTTGCCATACCGCCGACACAATCGCCACCACCAGCAGCACCAGCAGCAACGGCACTTCCTCCCACAGAAAATATCCCCAGACCTGCTTCCCCTCAGACGGCTTCAGTTTCACCTGTCTGCTTAATTCATCAGTCATCCCCTATTCAAGCATATCCTATACAACCTAATGCAGAGCACCGATCTCCTTCTATTCACCCTCCGCTCGCTCCCTCACGCACTGCTGCTGGTCGCTGCCCTGATTCCTCTCCCTTCCGTGCTGCTCTTCCTCCTCCTACTCCTATTTATCCTTCTCCCTTCACCGCCACTGCTGTTTTCTGCTGCTCTTCCCAGCCTTTACAAGCAGGTTTGCATCAGTTCAAGCCGCCTTACCATGCTCAATACCAGACCCTACAGCAGCAGGAGGAGCAGGAGCAGGAGCAGCAGCAGCAGCCGGAGCAGCAGCAGCAGCAGCAGCAGCAGCAGCAGCAGCAGCAGCAGCAGCAGCAGCAGCAGCAGCAGCAGCAGCAGCAGCAGCAGCAGCAGCAGCAGCAGCAGCAGCAGCAGCAGCAGCAGCAGCAGCAGCAGCAGCAGCAACAGCAAGAACAGCAGCAGCAGGAGCAGCAGGAGCAGCAGCCGCAGCATCAGCTGCAGCATGTGGTGCTGCCAGGGGGTGGCAGCTTCCATGAGCAACCTTCACAACCACCACAGCAGCAGCATCTTCTCTTACCATCCCCTCCTCCACCTCTCCCAGTACAGCCACCAGCAGCCCTTCTTCTCAGCCCACCTTCTTCTCAGCTGTCCCGCCAACCACCACCAATCCAGCCATCGCCCCCTCTTGCTTCTGACGCTGCCACGACAGCATATCCAACCCCCCAATATGCATCTACCTCGTATACACCTGCATCGTATGCACCTTCCCCGTACTCACTCACACCGAGCCAGCCATTCCCCGTTTCCGCAACAAAACCCGCCCATTGCTGCTGCTGCTGCGGCAGCAGTGAAGCAAACCCCATAGGGCCTCCTATTTGCACTCCTGCTGATCCAGCGGAGGAAACCTCACAAGTGGAACGTTTTGGGTCTCTGGATACAGCCGCCGCAGCAGCAGCAGAGGCGGTGGCAGCAGAAGTGGTGGCGGCAGCACCGACAGCGTCGGCCGTGACAGAAAATCCAGACGGTTTGCTTACTGCAGCAGCTCAGCACGCGACCTTCGAGGCACCCCAAAAAGGGGCTTTGGCTGCAACAGCAGGCGGATCGCTTGCAGCAGTAGCAGCTCAGCACACGGGCCTGCCGCCGCCCACCTGTTCTCAACCACTGCTCACAGCACCTATGCCCTTTACAGGGGAGCCATGCATTGGCACTTCGCAAGAACCAGTTCTGCCGCCGCCCACCTGTTGCCCACCTGCTTCTGTGACCTTTGCAGCAAGTCATGCCTGTCAAAGACCAATGGACCCGCCAGTGCAAACCTGTTTTCAGCCTTCCATCTTCAGTCCAACTTTTGGTCCGGGGCACGCTTCACAGTCCACCGGCCATATTCAGTCTGATTCCCTTCCTTCACTAGATCCTCTTGTGCTGCCATCAACCCACCACGCTCTGCCATCAACCCACCACGCTCTGCCATCAACCTGCCACGCTCTGCCATCAACCTGCCACGCTCTGCCATCAAGCTGCCACGCTCTGCCATCAAGCTGCCACGCTCTGCCATCAACCTGCCACGCTCTGCCATCAACCTGCCACGCTCTGCCATCAACCTGCCACGCTCTGCCATCAACCTGCCACGCTCTGCCATCAACCTGCCACGCTCTGCCATCAACCTGCCACGCTCTGCCATCAACCTGCCACGCTCTGCCATCAACCTGCCACGCTCTGCCATCAACCTGCCACGCTCTGCCATCAACCTGCCACGCTCTGCCATCAACCTGCCACGCTCTGCCATCAACCCACCACGCTCTGCCATCAACCTGCCACGCTCTGCCATCAACCTGCCACGCTCTGCCAAGTGTTACATCTGCGACTCTTGGTAACCACCCTGACCATCATCACTACCACCTCGGAAGCAGCAGTGACCGTGTGGGTTTGGCTGTTACTATGGTTACAGGGTTACCCGCAGCTGATGTTGCTGCGCCCTTGGTGCTATTCTCCAGTGCTGCAGCGGGATCTTCAGTTGGGCACGCTCAGCCTGCTTGCGCCACCACTCCTGCTAGCGAAACAGCTCTTCATTTGAATGCAACCACTGATCTGTCCCCGCTACAGAGCAATTCAGTTGAAGCAACAAGAGGACCTGGCCTTACAGCTGCTGAGGGTGGCGTTTGTGACTCTGGTGATGAAATGCTGGAGGATGTTTTTGGGGGCTGTGGCAACATAATGAGTCGTAGTGGTGGCAACAGTAATGGAGGCAACAATAGCGAGTCGTCTCCTGTGCGAAGCAATGTTACGGAAGATGCTAGCACTGCTTTGTTTGACATAGATACACTACTAGAAGAGGGGCTTTGGTTCAACCCTTCTGCTAATCTTGGTTGTAACACTATTGAGAAGGTGCAGTAGGCTTCGACAGCAATGCAGTAACGCCGCGTCGGCACCACCATTCTTTTGTTAGTTTGCTTTCCAGTTCGATTTTCTGGCCAAAACTGCAACATGTTTCTCTAATCTTACCAGTATTCTCCCAGACAAAACACCCCCCCATGATTGAGCACCCCCGGGTAGTTTTTCTCTAGTATATTGGCTGCTCTTAACTGTCTTCATTAGTTTCTCTCTTGTGCCCTAAGGGCGACGTCATGTTTTACAACTCTCTGTACAATCCTCTCAGAAATAGAATGCAACGGAATGATGAGATTAGGAATGTGAGTGATACAAACAGCAAACCCTAACTGAGTTGTACTCACTAAATGTTGGGCTGAGAAATAGCCCTTAGGATCTTTGCAGGGGTGAACTTTGGGTACAAATGATGTAGTAGCGGAAGCGTTTAATGAAGAGTTGTGAACCACCTTGCGCTAGTATGTGAGGGCAAAGTTGATTAATTAAAGCAGAGTGATACAAGATTATATAAGAGTACAAGGAATACGAAGAGATACGGTTCCAACTGTTTTACTGTTGCTGTTGCGGTTCGATACAGTGACGACTCGGGCAACTGCTCTGTAACGAGTCAATTGTGTATCCTTCCCGTCGTGCTGTACTTGTCAGGTCAAAGGTCGCTGACCTTTGAATTTCGCGTAACCTCCAGCAACTGCTCAACCTCCGAGGGTTGACTCGCCAGTGCTTCGATATGCTTGGCTTCGCTTCTGACTTGGTGTTTCGACACGACAGAGGCGCTTAGAGTTAATTGTTTCCAACACTCCCCTTCGCTTCTGGAGTGTCACTCCTGGTGACGTGGTTCTGTCCAGTCAGCAGCGTGTAGTACTTGAACTTCTGCTTCCCGAGCTTCTTGGTCAAGTAGTCAGCTCCCATCTCGGACGTGGTGCAGTATGACAGTTCGAGTCTCCCCTTCTCGATCTCGTCCTTCACGAAGAAGTATCGCAGGGCGATGTGTTTCGTCCTGTTCGCGAAGCTGTTCTTGTTGGCTATGCGAATGGCCGACTGGTTGTCGCAGAATAGGGTAAAGTTTGGTAACTGGGCTAGCTTGGCTTCCTCTAGGAGTTCGCGAAGGTACAGTCCTTCCTTGGTGGCTGAGCAGAGTGCGATATATTCTGCTTTAGCTGAAGAGAGGGCGATTAATTCCTGTTTGCTCGACTGCCAGGAGATAGGACCGATAGGCTCGAAGCGGTAGATGTAGCCGGTGCGGGAGCGCCTGTTGTCGGAGTTGCCGGCGTGATCGGCGTCGACATACCCGATTAGCTTGGGCGTTATAGTTGTGTTCTTATGGTAGATCAGGCCGATTGTCGGGGTGCTCACGAGGTAGTGAAGAGCGTGGTCGAGCTCCGCCAGATGTTCCGCTTCAGGTTTCTTGAGGTAGGTTGCGAGCTGGCTTGCAGAGTACGATAGGTCCGGGCGGCAGGTGACAGCTGCGAAGTGGAGGCATCCTAGCTTCCTCTGGTAGTCGCATATGTCGGCGAGCTTGAGTAGAGGGGAGCCTTCCTTGTGGTTTCCTGCCGTGTAGCGGTATGGCGTGGAGATGACGGTCGGTGTGAGTGCGAAGCGCTTGGCGATGGTATCGGCGTATTTCGCGGCGCTGAGATGGATCGCGTCCTCCTCTTCCCGTATGTTGAGCCCGAGATATTGCGTGACGGTAGATGAGACTGTGAGCGTAAGGTCTTGCTGCAGCTCCCCTTCGAACTAGGTAGTGACGCTGTCGGTTGAGCCGATGTAGAGCAAATCGTCTACGTAGATGATTAGCAAGATGTAGTCGGTACCCTTTGTGAGCCGGTACATGCCTTGGTCGTGAGGTTGTTGGCAGAATCCAATTCGAATGAGTCTTGCGTGCAGGTACTGCTGCCACAGCCTCGGGGCTTGTTTTATGCCATAGAGCGATTTCAGCAGCTGACAAACTTGATTAGGCTCTCTGTTGGAGCCGTGCGGTAGCTTGACGAAGATATCTGCATTGACGGGTGCGTAGAGGAAGGCGTTGGCGACGTCAATTTGTCGCAACTTCTTTTTCTTCACGGCGGCGATTCCGAGGAGGATTCGCAGCGAGGTGTGTCGGCTGATTGGAGCGAATGTCTCGGTAAAATCACGTCCGTGTTCCTGGTCGAGAGTGCGTACGACCCAGCGTGCTTTGAACTTGTCGATGGTGCCGTCAGCCCTTGTCTTCACGCGAAAGACCCACTTTCCGGTGAGAATCGTCTTGTTCCGTGCTACGCCGATAGGAACAACCTTCCACGTGTTGCGTTCCTCCAGTGCTTTCAGCTCATTGTCCATGGCTTCGCGCCATTTTTCTTTATGCTCCCCCCCCAGAGCCTGCTGAACTGTCGCAGAATCTTTAGGAATGGCTGTCTCGTGTGAGAAAAACTGAAACAAGAATGGGTGAACTATGAATGAAGTGGGTACAAGTACTAACCCTAATTGTGTTGTACCCCCTATGAGATACCCCACTACAACCTACACAAAAGCATAAACTATAATGTTCTGACACACCCCCATAGGCAAAGTGGGGGAGAACAAGGGGTCACAAGACCAGTCAAGCAAAGCAAAACAGAGCAAAGCTCAGGGTGGATCACAAAGTCACCACACATTCCGAGCACAAGTACAAGGCCACAAGGCCAGTTCACATGCAGGAGTACATATATATAAGGCTAGACAAGCAAGAGCAGGTATATATATGTAACAGTACAAGCAAGGTCAAGAGGTGAGCAAGTGAGGCAAGACAGGGACAAGACCCAACTGAGTGCAGAAGCGCTGATGATCACAAGGCGGAAGTGCCTTGGTGAAAACATCAGCAGTGTTGGTCTCAGAGGCCACGTACGCAAGCCGCAACTGTCCACGCTGCTGTAGCTCACGAGCAAGGAAGTAGCGGAGAGCAATGTGCTTTGTTCTGTGCTCCATTCGCTGCTCTCGGCACAAGGCCAGCATGGCCTTGTTGTCTACGTACAGTACTGGAGGAGAACGAGGCGACTCTCCGAGGTCAGTCAGCAGGTAGGTGAGCCAGCGAAGCTCCTGTGCAGCCATGGCCCCCGCATAGATTTCAGCCTCACAACTGGAGCCGAGAACAGAAGACGAGCAGGTAGCCCGCAACGAAACAGAGCCGGAACCAAGGCTGAAGGTGTAACCCTGTGACGACCGCTGCGTAGCCTGGTCGTCAGCCCTAGAAGCGTCTCATGCCCAGTGAGGACCACTGGACTGCGCCCTCCAAGCACTAGCCCCATACCCGACGTACTGCACAAGTAGCGCAACACCCTCTTCGCGGCAGCCATGTGCTCTGGTCGATGTCTCCCAGGAGCAACATAGCGTGCGAGAATGCTCAGAGGGTATGCAAGGTCAGGTCGTGTGCAGGTCATTAGGTACATGAGGCAGCCAACAAGCTCTGGGTACGGGCCACTCGACTCTACGGACTCATCCGAAGGCAGAGCTGAGAGCGAGTGGCGAGTAGGCAGAGGAGTGGCCTGAGGAAAGGAGTACGTGAAGCCGAAGCGCTGACGGACCTGCTGCACCATGTGTGACTGATTCAGGGTAATGGTGCGGCGTGCTCTGTCCCGAGTGATCTACAAGCCAAGGTAGCTGCGCAGTTCACCCAGGTTTGTGCACGTGTGTCTCTTCTGCAGCTTGGACTTCACGTGGGCGAGTCCAGCAGTGTCAGCTGTGGCAAAGACCAAGTCGTCGACGTACACGAGGATGTAGAACGGCCGCAAAGAAGTATCGGTGGGCAGAAACAGCGACGGGTCGGGAGTAGAGGGAGCAAACCCAAGAGCCGCAAGTGTAGTCCTCAGTGTGTCGTGCCACTCACGCGGTGCCTGGCGGAGACCGTAGACCGGCCGGCGGAGGCTCCACTGGAAGCCAGGAGGAAAAGTCTTAGTGAAGAGTGGTCATCTTCGGGGTGGGAGAGAAGGTCTGAAAGTAGTCAACTCCCTGCCGCTGACAGAAGCCACAAGCCACGTAACGCGCCTTAAAGAAAGGTGGAGAACCCGGGGGCCGCTTCACCCTGAAAATCCACATGCCACTGACGATGTTCGCCCCAGGAGGGGGAACGGCGTCAACATAGGTGCCTGTGGACTTCCAGGAAGCCATCTCTGCGTCCATAGCTGCCTGCCACTGAGAGGAGTAGGGACCCTCTATCGCCTACGCGTAAGAGCGCGGAGTCGGGATGTCAAGTGCATCCGGGTCTCCCTCAAGGGTAAGCTGTACGGACACGAGATGAGGTGAAGCAGCGGCCGAGTAGTAAAACTACTCCTGCCTGTCCTCAAGGACGTCCATGCCAAGAGCACACTCACCCCCGACGGACGGAGGACAGACAGACTCAGACTCAGCAACAAGACTGGCAGCGTAATCTAGACGACAGCGAGCAGCAAAGTCGACGAGCTCAGCTACTAGGGCAGGCGCAGTAGTGGACTCAAAAGAAGGGTCAATGACAACAGTAGCAAGGAGACGCGTGACAGTA